AGGTATTGGTCAACAGAAAGCATGGTTTCTGATTCTGAGAGAAGGAAATCTCATGAGGTGAGCCTAGCGATTTGATGGCTCTGTTCCAAAGTGAGTCTTCTGACGGCAAGAGGGTTAGCTGGAGTCTAAGCCAAGCACAGCAGTCCTGCTGAACTGAGGAAACAGAGATCAGAGTTCAGAGGAATTGAACAGCTAGAACCTGCAGAGCACTATAGAGGAGAGAGTTATTTGGTGAAGGGGGAAATAGAAGTGTCTGAGTGTATCCAGGGGATACTAGACTGGACTGGTGTGCACATGTATAGACTGAAACCAGAAGAAATTTACCCAAAGTGGCAGCTCTGGGGTTGAGAATGGGAGATACCAGCCACACTGGTAAGACCTCCTTAACTCCTTGTTAATTTCCCAGGCATCTAGAAAAGATACAATAAACCTATTTTAGCATTAAGGACCATGTTGGTAATTTTTTCTTTAATGACGAGCTATATAGTAATTATTTAAGCCATTTGAGCCATTTAGTTTCTGTCGCAACTACTCAACTCTACTATTGTAGAGCAAAACCAGCTGTAGATTATATATAAATGAATAGCTGTTTTTTGTTCTTTTTTTTTTAAACAAATAATATAATGTAAGTTTATTTCCAAAAAGGAGTCCAGACAGTGGGCCAGATTTGGGTTATGACTGAAGCTTTCCAACCCATGTGCTAGAGTGAGGTATATTTTATTTAAACCCACCTAAACAGAACCTAGGACCCAGTGGTGTCATGGTTTGCAGCTGAGATTGAGTTTGGAAGTTAACCCAAGCACTAGTTAAAGGGACTTAGGAAATATTCATGATGTTTCATAAGTTCCTCCAGCAAAGTGGAAGGCTACCCCTACGCTGTCAAGGTTAACAGGCGCTCTGACTTATGGCAAAGGTCACCTCTCTTCAGAGGAAGACCAATCCAGTCCACCTTCAATGTATCATCAATCATGATGAGGTATGCAAATAGAAAAATATTGCACATAAGCAAAACAAGCAAACAAACAAAAAAGTAGTCAGTAGAAGTAGATGGCAAAAGGATTCAGTTGTTGGATTTTGCAAATAAAGATGTTAAAGCAGCTGTTATAAAACTGTTGAACGAATTAAAGGAAAATACTATCACAATGAATGAATATATAGGGTCTCACTGTGAAGAAATACAAACTATTAAAAGTTAAAATAAAATTCTAGAATGGAAAAGCTGAATAACTGACTTAATAGGATGAGCTACATAGGAGAACAAGGATGAAAAAAGAATGAACTGATGAATTTAAAGACAAACCAAGAAGAGATATAAAGACAGAGAAACATATTTGAAGAAATAATGCTTGAATTTTCCAAATTGAGTGGGAAAGGACAAATAGATTCAAGATATTACCTGAACTTTAAGTTAAGTAAGTTCTAAGAAAATGCATCTATACTTGCCATAGTCAATTTTAAAACCAAAGCTAAGAAAAAAAAATCTTGAAAGCAGTGAGAGGGAAAAAGATAAACTATAATAGTGAAATAAGATTGCCAAGAATTCCTCACCTGAGACAACAGAGACTGAAAAACAAAATACTGCTCAAGTCCTCAGTAGTCTTTTAAGGCCCTTATTCTCTAATGCCATTGTATTAACAGTCTCTGTTACTGCCATCCTGCATCAACCGTAAGCTACGAGAGACCACTGATGCTACCTTATCCTTCCCTGTATGTTCACACCCTAGGTGGGCCCAGCAGAGAACCCGTACCTGTTCCTCATGATGCTGGCCTTTGACTTTGAGGGTACACTGAGGTCCTATTCTGACTATAGCTTCCATCACTACCTCCTGCTCTCAGTACCGTGTGAGCAAAGTTAATCTCTCTGGTGCATATTTCTTGAGTCATGGACTGCTCACAAACTTTCAGTGCTTTCCCATTTACCACCTAAGTCTTCTCATTAGTCCCATCAACCCTCTGTGGACACCTCAATTTTCATCAGACTAACCTCTTCACTACCTTAGAAACAATTTTTAAAGGTATTTAATTAACTAATTAATTAATAATTTATGCATACCAGAACTGGAGTACAGGGCAGAGGTGCAGGTGAGGGGCCAGGTGTGAAAGGATTCACCAGAGACAGAGTGGGGAGAAGACCCAATGATGGACCAACTGAAATACACAGCTCAGGGGAGCAGCGGGTGAGACAGGAGAGGTCTGCTGCACCATGAGGATCAGCTCCCTGGCCAGGGATCAAACTCATGCTGCAGTGGCTGAGGATAGCTTCATAGTGCTGCACCTTAACCCCTTGCACCACAAGGGAGGCCCAGAAGCAAGTTCTTAATCAGAAACTGTGATTCTTAATTTTCAATGAAGTTGGTGCTCTGCCCCAAGGCTGTCGCTACCCTTCTAGAGAGTGGTCCAGAACAAGAATGTGCTTCAGTCCATGAAACCTTTCCAATACCTCATGGTTACTCTTCTTGAAGAGCTCTCTGAGGCTAAACTGGAACAGCACTTTTGATGTTCCCCTCAGCCGGCAATTATTCCCAATTTGCTTTCTACTGTTCCTTCATCTCCCCAGCCACATTGCAAACTGCTTGAGAGTTGCTGTCTCAAAGGTGTCTGATGCCCTCTCTCGATGCCTTAGGCTCATGCATGTGGGTTAGAGGATTGATCCAAAACAAATCTTTCTATGACTCCTGTCCTATCTGCCAAAACTCCTCCCCAACTATTAGAAATTAAATAGGAGTGCCGAGGACGACTGTTTCTGCAATGGCAACCCAGAGACTTCAATGAATTTTTCGGTGTGACTTGGTCAACTCTCTGTTGAAATTCTCATTTGTGATGATTGTAAGCCTCACTTATAATTCACATTCTAAAACATGGGCGAGGTTTTTATGGAGTCATGTATTCCTGTATAAACTTAGCCTCTACACGATTGGCTGCTCTGTGGGTTTTGGCTGTCAGCACAGCCTTCCTCAAGCTCTGGGGTCTCATGGCTTTCTGCATATGGCGTTTCATTCATGGCAGATACCTGGAATCCACATTGCAGGGCCACTGTGGGAAGTTCCCTGTAATGAATTGTTCTGCAAGGCTTTTTGGAACCACTCACTGTCTGCCACCAACCATGACTTGGACTGAGGTTGGACAAGCTAAGGGCTTTTCTTTCAAGCAGAGTTTGAATAGTCACCTTGGTTCCTCAGCCAGAATACACCTGTACTTGTGAAGGGACCTTATTTATATTTTTTAAGATTTATTTATTTGTGCATGCATGCATAGAAGAAGCAAGGTGTAGGCCAGAGGTGGCAGATGTGAGAGGATTCACCAGAGACAGAGTAGGGAGCAGAACAGGCAGATTGACTGAAACACACTGCTGAGAGGAGCAGTGGGTGGGACAGGAGAGGTTTGTTGTGTCATAGGGGTCAGCTCCCTGACCAGGGATGGAACTCATGCCGCTGTGCCTGGTGATAGCTTGATAGCGCTGAGATTTAACCCCTCTGCCACCAGAGAGGCCTTGTGCAGGAAACTTTAATTAGACCAGACCAGGCCCTGGTCGCAGCAAGAGTTTTAGAATAGTCCCTTAATTTCCTTCAGGCAAGGTTTCTTCATCTGTAAATGAATTACTTTGTGTCCTTTGCTACTAAAATCACTGTTGAGTCAAACGAAGTATGGTCTGAAAGCATTTCTGAAAATTTTAAGTTCCTTGCAAACATTTCTAGTATCACATTACAAAACCACTTTTTAAATTATCCCCCAACAAAACCCATTAAATATTTCTAACTTCCCCCAGCAAGAGTTCTTACTTACTGCTGACAATCACCTACAGTGAAACTTCCTCAACATTTTTTGTTGTTTGCCAATTAGAAGGCTATGAGTGAAATTGTTCTGGACTAAAATGAATATTGTGAGCATTTCATTAAAAAGGACTTTCATTGTTCACCTCAGATAGTAGTTCTTGTGTGGAAACACATTAATTTTGCATTCATTCAGATTTTATTAACTCATTATAAGATCAACAGTCAGGTTCAAGTTGTAGAAGGACATTAACAGTACAAAGTAGTAAGTCTACTGAGCACTACACATAGACCACAGTTGTAGTGTGAGTCAAGGCTAGACTCAGAGTCAAGTTCACCTAGATTGCAAATGTGTTTCTTTAACTCACAACTTTCTCTGAAGCAGATATTCCCCACCCTTTCTCCAAATGAACAAAATGACTCCATTTCTATTCTTGATTGGCAAACCGTGCTTGGAGATACCATCTGGAGGTTGTTGGGTTTCTGCCAAAGATTTAAATCAGGCTTGCAGAGAGCTACCTGCCTGCCTACAGCAAGAGGCTGCACCAATTAAATAGGAAAGAACAGGTTCATTTTACCATCCATCTGGTAGAAAAAAGTGAAAACACTTTGAAAAGTTTTAGTATTTGTTTTACTGGGAAAATTTGGGAATCCAATTGCTGAAATTTGTGGGATTATATGCAAGTGTAATATAAAGACATGCATACACAGATTTCCCCTGTCCATGAAAGTAGACTGTTCCTATTTGATAGAATTTTTTAGGTTATTTTTTGAATCTAGAAATGCTAAATTTTTTCCCCATGCACATTAATGGTAATAGCATTCTCGGCACCCTCTCTCCCAAACGAAGCTATACCAAATAAGAGGTGTGCTCTACTTTCAGGTAGTGGGAGAAATCTGCACTGAGATGCAGTGGCAGATACTTCTATATTAGGAATGTGGATCTAAGACAGGAAGAAAGAAGCAAGGCAATTTGGAAACCATCCAGATCTCCTTGTAGGCTGTGTAGAAAGCCTGCATGTATTGGCTATAATGTAATGATTATCTTTTTTAATTTTCATTATTATTTTTTTTAAACAGATGTCCTCCTGGCAAACTAACTGAAGGCAAGAAGAGCTAATTTTCTTGTTAGCCCTCTGCAAGCTCCCCCTAACAGAAGGAGGCCCACGTTCACTGTGCTTCCATACCCCCACCACTCCAGACATTACTCTGGGGTCTTCCTGAGGTCAGCAGTGTGAAGATGACCAGTGCCTCCCTAGCATGACGTCCTTGGACCGTGTGATTGCAACCCACCAGTCAGAGTGGGTCTCTTTCAATGAAGAGCCACTTTCCCCTGGCCCTTCCGAGGGTAAGATGTGCTTTCCTTTCCACAGTGAGATGTTAGAGGAGGAGAAGAGAAGTTAGAGAGGAGTCCCTGTGCCACATCCTGCCCATCATTAGTGCAGAGCTTGCATGTGCTGGCCTGCAGGTGTGTGCACTTTGGGCTGCGTAGCCAAAAGTCTGAATTTGAATGCCTTCAGTCCAGACACAAATTCTCCTGATTAACTAGGGTCCCACCAGTCCTCATTGCCTTGTGCCTATCCCAGTCACCTCAGTTGTAGTTCCCGCTTGACTTCCAGGTATTTTTGTTTGTGACCTCCAACAGCTGAAGTAGCTGCTGAGATAAGAATAATGAACACACACACACACATAATTAGTGAATACGACTCCCAGTTTCAGCTGCCTGGATACTGATGATGGATACACTGACGTTAAGGTTTGTATAGATTACTTAGCATAGAGCTACAGGCGGGTATGGCTCTCTCTTCATCCTCACCCAAGTAATAATGATTTCCTGTGGTCAGCCCTTGCCTCTACCAGACAGTTGCAAAGAGTGGCTTATCACATGATGTGATGGTGGTGTTTGGTGTCTGTTTCAGGGGGCACTGAAGAGCCTCTCCCAGGCCTGTCGTCTTCCTCAGACCAGTCCGAGAGCTCCTGCGGGGACAGCCACCTGGCGGATGGAGGCGCTCAGGACCTCTCCCCATCAGAGCAGGATGACTCCTCTGAGAAGATGGGCCTCATCTCTGAAGCTGCCTCCCCTCCCCAGAGCCCTGAGCAGGCCCCACCTGACCTGGCCTCTGCCATCAGCAACTGGGTTCAGTTTGAAGATGACACGCCCTGGAGCAGCATGTCACCACCTTCCAAAGAAACAGGTAGGACAGGAGGGGGGCTGGAGGGCTCTGGGTCATGCTCAGAAAGGACACTTTTCCACTAGAAGGCTGTTTTACCTGTTCTCAAAGAGCAAAGAGAGCAGGCAGACTTCTCATCGGCCATAATCCAGTCACTTGTTTTTTGTGAACAGAAAAAATTGAAAGGATTTATGCATTCTGTGCCATCTTCAGCCTTTGACCCACGTACCCGGGCTGTTGGGAGTATGCCTTTTCTTTTATGTTTCAGGAACTTACTCAGCACCACACTGTAAGGTCTTTGTGGGTATAAATGAATGTCTTGCAAAGTGTGGGCCACCCAGCTTCTCTAGTAGGGTTACCAGTTACGTGGATATTCTTGTGTTCCAGACGTCTTGAGTTTACGTTTTCAGAAGTGGAGACTGCTGTTAATGATAATTCTCTTATTCTGTGGCACTTAAATGTCCAGAAGCCACACTGGGTGCTTGGTGAAGCCATAGTGGGGGCCTTTATTCAATACCTAACAGTGGCAAGCGTGTGGACTGATAAAGCATTCATACACCTGAGGGAAGATTACTACGTGCTGGGCAGGGAATCGTCACAGAATAATAATTTAATAAGCTGTAAATAAGTATTTACTGGATACTTCTTCGTTGAGCACTGTGCTCAGTGCTTTTGAATTTTTAATTTTTTTTATTGAAGTAACATTGGTTTATAACTTTGTATAGATTGCAGGTGTGCAGACTTTTACAACAACATCTGTATATGCTATTTTATGTTCACCACAAAAGTCTAGTTTCTTTACCATTCAGTTGATCTCCTTTACCAGATTTACTCCCATCCCCTTCTCTTCTGGTTAACATAATTGTGTATGTGACAGGCAAGCCAATGTGCTCCAAAGCTTCAGCGCTAATTTTTGCAAAGCTCGTGTGGGATTTTTTCATAACCATGTTTCCCCATCTGACTGGGGCTCTTGACTTGTTATTGACTATGGTCCAGATATATTATTAAACAATATTATTTAATGCAGTAGTTCTCCCAGTGTGGACTGTGGATTTTAGGTTTTTCTAGAACTCTCTCAACTGGCCTGTAGGGTCAAAATGATTTTCCTAATAGTAAAATGATATTTGCCCATTTTCTTTATATTGGTATTTGCATTGTTGGTACAAAAGTAATGATGAGTACAACTCTGGCCACCACATATTGATAGCAATGAAGTAGTAAAATGATTAATTTGATTAAATCTTGATTTTTAAGTACAACTTTTAATATTGTCTGTTACTAATTGGGTATATAAATAAATTTTTAAAATTGAGTTTAAGTGGTTTTGGTGTTTAAAAAAATCCTTTTAAAATGATTTATAAAAATCAAAGTAACACAAAAATAATCCTTGCTGAATAAAATATCAGCATCAAAAATAAAAGCTCCAACTAACAGTTGTGTGACTGCCAGATGCCACCTCACCTTAATCCAGGCCCTAGTTCCAATAAAATTTTAATTTACAAAAATAGGTGGTTAACCAGTGGGCCATAGTTTGCTGCTGATTTGATGATTTTTCAATATTGCATTTTAAATGTTATTTAATTACTGAGCTTTTTGGCACTTCCTTAAATATTTACCTGAGATAAGTACCTCACTTTTCTCACCTTAGTTCTAACCCTCATTATACTAAAGATATGGGGATTATTAATATTAATAGAGAACTAATCAAGAAATAATACTTTCAAATGTGTGAAAGCATCTGTTGACATGAAGACTGCTTCATCTGCTTCTCTAAGTGAAAACAGACTTGAGGCCTGAGGTATAGTCAGGAAGCAGGGATAGAGCCTCCCTGTTAGCCAGGGGTTAAAGTGCAGCACTATGAAGCTCTCTTCAGTAACTGCCACACGAGTTCTATCCAGCCAGGGAGGTGACCCACATGGTGCAGCAGACCTCTCCTGTCTTGCCCATTGCTCCCCTCATCAGTGCATTTCAATTCGCCTTTTCTGCTCCTCACTCTGTCTCTGGTGAATCCTCTCACCCCTGCATCTCTGGCCTGTACCTCAGTTCTTTTTTTATTTTTTTTTTTAAAGATTTATTTATTTATTTGTGCATACAGAACTGGGGTACAGGCCAGAGGCTCAGGGGCGGTGAGAGGCTTCACCAGAGACAGAGTGGGGAGCAGAACAGGCAGATCTACGAAGTACACTGCTGAGGGGAGCAGCGGGCGGGTCAGGAGAGGTCTGGCTCGCCATGTGGTCTCCTCCGGGGCAGGCGGCAGGCGGGAATCGAACTCATGCGGAGGTGGCTTCAGATTCTCAGTACTGTGCTTTAACCCGCTGCGCCACCAGGGAGGGCCATGTACCTCAGTTCTTATATGTATAAATAAATAAACCTTTTTTTAAAAAAAGCAGGAATAAGCTATATGTAGGGCCAGCCCCACTTCCACAGTGCTTCTTGTTGAGTGTGACCAGATATGGGCAGTAACACAATGGCTACCTGTGAGAACATATGGGCAATAGCACAATGACTGGGACCAGACCTCACATCCAGGTGTACAGCGCCATGTCAGCTTTCTAGAACCTGAACCTAAAGCCTATATAAGAGATACTTTCCCCTACAGCACTGGCAGTAGCTGCAGGTCCCACCCCAGGGAGCTCCATCTCAGATGCTGCCTGGGAGCAATAATCTCTACTTGCTTAGCCTTTCTGCCTCCCGTCTTTCTTCCTTGTGGTGGGTCACAGGAATGGGACAAAACAATTCTCACAAAGAGGTCCAGGAGCCAGAGGACAATGCAGAGTGGCAGAGTGGTGAAACAAGGGCAGTATATCCAAGGGTCCAATCCCCAGTCTGTGACGAAAATCCCTCCTGACCCATCAGTGAACTTACCAAGTATAAGCCTGCAAGGTGTATTCCTTCTGCCTGAGTTCACTTTGCCTACATAGGCTTCTCTGTAGGTTTCAGAAGAGAGATAGAGGTAAGGCCAGGTAATAAGCAGGAGAAAGTAGTCTTCGACCTACTTGGCATGGATCATGTAGCCAGGCCCCAATTTAGGTTTTAATTTGAATAATCAGGTTTAGATTCCACTTTGTCAACAATATCACATGCGTAAAAGTAGGCATAACAAAACAAGGTGTCTGCAGCAAGAGTCCTCTGGAAAGATAGTCCATCTTCTTGCAGTCACTGTGCCTCTCTCTCTTTTGGTTTTACTATCTTCTCCTGGTGCAGTAGGCTGAGGAAAGGCCTTTAAAGACAGCAGGTCCTACACCCTGGGAGCTGGACATGTATGTGGAGGTAGCCTTGAGATAGGATTAAATTAAAGAGCTTGAGTAGTGGAATAGTCCCAGATTATCTGGGTGGGGCCGTAAGTACGTTTGTTTAGGAAAGAAAGGTAGAGGGAGATGTTGCCTCCAGAGAGAAGCAACCTGAAGATTGAACATAGAGGGATTCGCAGATACTGGCCTTGAAGATGGACTGGGGAGGCCATGGGATGCCGGCAGGTGTTGAAAGCTGGAAGGCATGAGAAGCAAATTCCTGTCTGCAACCGTGGAGGAACAAATGCTGGTGTTTCCGTTTCTGCCCAGTCATTCTGATTTCAGATTCCTGGTTCCCAGAATTGTGAAAAAATAAATTTTTGTTGTTTTAGACCACTGAGATTTTGGTAAATTGTTCGGCCACCGCAGTTAGTTAATATAGCAAGTATCCAACATTTTAAAATGAAATCATTTGCATAAGGCTGAGTGAGCCAGTCTGGGCTAGGTATTAGTGCAGGCCATTTATTAAGACATGTTCTGTGCCAGCCACTTCACCTCCAAAGTGTACAGCCTTCTGTAAATGTTATAAAGTCTGTACACCATGTCTGCAGGATGTGAAGTTAAATAAGCCAGAAAAGAAAGTTTCCATGGAAACTGATACTTGACTTCAGCCTTCCCCATCACTTTTCATCAGAACAAACTAATTCTTTCCTAGAATGTAGCTGCAAACTCTGTTTCTTCCCATTTTATTCCCATGTCCCTTTTGATTCTATTAAGTGCTCATCTCTTTCTGATCACATATCTCTGCATCAGGAGAAAAAGAAAAATGCATATTTTGAACTATCCCATGTGCCTCTCTATAAATATTCTTTCATGAGAAAATCATGATCTTTGTCTAAGAGAAATAGTGAGAGGACAAGAAGGGGGATAAGTGGAACTATTTAGAACTAGTCCTCTTTGAATTTCTGGGAGCAAGAAACGGAGCCTTACTTAAGCCAGCTTTTCCATACTTAACATCCTGGCTTGCAAAGACAAGTTGGAAAGAAAGGCTGGAACATGTGTGGATGCACACACAGAGAATCTAGGTGGAGAAATGTTGGGATACTGCTTTCTGTTCTCCCAGCCCCCATTCTTCCACTCTTCATAGATTTTCTGACAGAAGAGCAAAAACCCAAAGAACTTCTCTTTCAAGCTTTGCCACCTAAGAAAAAAGCCATGGGAGCACTGGATTTCAGCCTGCAATGGGAATGCCCTATTGCCTTAATTAAAATGCAAGGAAGCTGTAGGCACAGTGGAGTTAGGACAAAGAGACTGTCATTAGCCGTAAATCTCTTATTTTGGTGGCATTTAAATGCTAGAAGCTGCATTAAGGAACTTAGTGGAGCCAGAAGAGTCGTCCTCACCCTGGTGACCTCGCTATTTATTTTTTTTATTATGCCCAGAGGCTTACCAAGGGTGACTGAATAACCAGGAGCAACAGATAGTGGGGAAAACAACTCTAGAAATGCTTAAGCCATGCAGGGAGCAACTTTCTTTTGAACTTCAACTAGGATAGGATTTGAAGTGTCATTAGGATTGGAGATGCATGATCTCACTCAGAAAAAATGTGAATAGTAACAGTGGCGTGGCAAAGCCTTTTTATAACCACAGACGTAGGAAGGAGAACTGGCATCTACTCTGTAGACCTGTGGATAATAAGAAGAATGCCCAAATCAAACCACCCAAGATTCTCAGGCCTGGCCTTCTCAACATGGCAGAGTATTTTGAATGAGGAGCAGTGAAATCCTTTGAGACTGAAGAGAAGGTTTTGTTCTCTCCTAAGTTCTTTGCCCTTACCTCATCAAAGAAGAGATGGTGGTTTGCTAAACCTCTGCCCTTTTCCTAATAGAAGAAATCACTGCTTTTTACCTTGTGACCTAGAAAAATGTACATAGAGACAGGGGTCCCATCCTGTTGTAGCTTTATCATAGAATAATCCCCCTCTAGTATTTTGTCTTTATTTTCAGATAAAGAGTGAGGTGACCCCTTCTTACCTAACCTGTACAGTGTTCCACCTACCTCCTTGATACTCTCTCTATATCCCAGGCCTATTCCACTGGGCTTTAGAATTGATTACACTGTAAAATCTCCATATATTTGCTACTAAGCTTTGACCTTTTCTCCTACTTATCTGTTTGATGTTTATCTGTTCATCTCTACAACTTAAGAAGAACCCATAGTGTGGGAAATGCTTCCCTAGGCCCCCATTCTAGGAAAATGAGTGGATATGAAATCGGGGTCCCTTGCATTGTTTCTAAAATGTGTTTTCCCCCATTGAAACCCCTGAATGTCAGTGGAGGCCAAATGTGGAGTCATTATCTCTGACTAGACAAGACTACTTTGACTCAAATCAGGTTGACAAATACTCTCTGTGGAAAGATTTTTAGTAGAATTTTAGTTATGCAACACTTAAACATAAGACTTGATTTTGCCACAAGAATATTGTTTACATCTCCAGTCTGAAGATGCTCCAGGGGCAGAGAGGAGATTTCTTCCTACCCCACTGTATTTGTCTCAGGGTGGTGGAGCAATCAAATGAACATCAGACTAATACAAGAAAAGAAAAAAACTATATATGCATGGATAGTTGACATGGATGTAACTTCTAAAGTAAATAGGACATAACAAGGGTATCTGGGGCCTCCCTAGTGGCACTTGGGGCTAAAGAACAGCACTGTGGAGTTATCCACCACCACTGCAGCATGAGTTTGATCCCCAGCCAGACTGCTTCTGTCTCTCCTGCTGCTCCCTCAGCGGTGTACTTAGAAAATCCACCTCTTCTGCTCCCTACTCTGTCTCTGGCGAATCCTCTCACTATCCACACCTCTGGCCTGTACCCCAGTTCTTGTATGGGTGAATAAATCTTTAAAAACAAAAATCAAAGGTATTCATGGGAGCTAAGGAATGAGGATAAGTCTGGGGCTTCAAAAATGAAGGAGGGAGACCGCATGATGAGGAGAGGGTGACTCATGACAAAGACCAGATGTTCTATAATTATAGGCTTGCCCTACCACGTGGATAGGTTTCTCCAATAGGTTATTTCTAGTCAAAATCCTGATTCTGATTAATACCCGCAGATTTTATTCTCCTAGGTAGTTAAGGGAGAAGTAAAAATTTCTTTTGAACCAGTAGGTCTCAGTTTACATTTTCTCTAAATAACCTACCTGCCAGAGTGACCCCTCTTTGTCCTGGGCACACATTGGAGGCTTGTCCTTCAATGCTATACTATTGATCAAGGTCACACTGTAAAATAAAATGTGAAGAAATTTTTTTTTTTAAGATTTATTTATTTATTCGTACAGAACTGGGGTACAGGCCAGAGATGCGGAGGGTGAGAGGATTCACCAGAGACAGAGTGGGGTACAGAACAGGCAGATTGATGAAGTACACTGCTGAGGGGAGCAGCAGGCAGGTCAGGAGAGGTCTGCCTAGCCATGTGGATCTCCTCTGGGGTAGGCGGGGATTGAACTCATGCGGAAGTGGCTTAAGCTTCTTTGTGCTGTGCTTTAACCCTCTGCGCCACCAGGGAGGGCCCTAAAATGTGAAGAAATTTAATTGAAAACTTGTTTGCTGAATACTGAACTCAATGGATGAATATTCTGCTATATCATGTGCAAAACCAAAATCTTTACCAAAATTTTGTTCAAATCATAATTGAATCTTTGTATCATTTTTAAAAGAAATACTTTTTTAAAATGAGTAGGTAGAGTTTCTTCACAATAATGTTTCTGAGTATCCCTAGTTAAAGAAAGGCTTCCTAGATTAGCATTTTCTCTCATCTGACTTTAAAATTCTACCATGTACCAGGAGGAACATATCACTAAACTTATCTACCTCCTAAAATCTTTTTCTTAAGTATCCTCTCACAGTAAAAGCTGATTTCATGTAAGTGCAGTTTATGTGTGTGTGTTCATAAAGCATGTTAACAAATGCATACAAAAATATTGATTGAGAAACAAAGTTTATTCCAAAAATTAAAAAACGAAGGCACTGATACCAGCATAATTATTATCAGCACTATTATCCTGTTCACTCATGTGCTGACCTTCCTTCATGGACATGGGAATTTTGTGACAAGGCCAAAGCTGAATTGGACCCATTATGCAGATACTGCAGGATATGCATAATTGCAAGCATTAAAAAAAACTTTCATTTCCGGAACATTTGTCCCAAAGCCAAGGCAAGACTTGAGTATTCACTTGTGCTTCAAACATCTTCCCTAAAAGCATGGGCTCAGGCCTACCCATTGTGTCTGGGGAAGCTAATTATCTGGGACCAGAGAAAGAGCCACTTGTTTGGGGGAGGACCAGGGATGATGTCAGCCACTTAAGAGGAAGGCAGCAATGGCAACTCAGAGACTTGATATTGGACAAGACTAGCCCAGCAGTTAATTTCTATTATGTTTTTCATTCTGGTTGCTAGAGATGAGTGATGATGGGGTGTGGTAGGGCCCTAACCCTTTGGTGAATATATAGACAAGGTCCATTGCATTTGGCATGCATATGTATTTCCCTGAGGTTTTTTTTTTTTTTTTAAGATTTTATTTATTTGTGCATACAGAACTGGGGTACAGGCCACAGGCTCAGGGGTGGTGAGAGGCTTCACCAGATACAGAGTGGGGAAAAGAACAGGTAGATCGATGAAGTACACCGCTGAGGGGAGCAGTGGGTAGATCAGGAGAGCTCTGCCACACCATGTGATCACCTCCAGGGCAGTTGGGAATTGAACTCATGCAGAAGCGGCTTTAGATTCTCAGTGCTGTGCTTTAACCTGCTGCGCCACCAGGGAGGGCCATCCCTGAGGAGGTTTTTAATCTTCTTTTAATACCTTAACTTGTTCTTTTCTGTTTTTTTAACTGTAACTAGTGACCTTTCTGGAATTCATCTTAGTGATAGCCTCAGAAATGAATTTTCATTGAGTTGTTCTTCTTCAGAGCCTGAGGCCCTCTCTGACCCTGCCACTAGCTCTCCTCTACTCCAAGCCACCTTTCCTACTGTTTCCAAGAAGGTCATTTGTGTTTCTCCATTCTGCATTTCCCTGGATATTTTCCCTCATGTTTTCACTCAGAGTTCTGCTCAAGCATCACCTCCCAACCACCAGCATTTTCTTGCTTTAAGTGTCTTTAAAATCCATCTCTCACTGTCTGAATTTAAGTCACACTTTGTGTGTGTGTGTGTTTGTCATTTTTTCCCCACCGGTGGAAGGAGACTTTGTCCAGATCATTTATATGGTGCATGGAACTTAGTAAGTGCTCACTTAGTTGTTCCAGTTAATGAATGAAAAGATGAAAGGTGTAGAAGTTGACTGCAGAATGACTAAGTGACTCCCTCTTTATGGGGTCAGTGAGCTGTTAGCTGAACCAAAGAAGTTCTCCGCAGTGAAGGAAGAGTTGTTAACAAAATAGACAAGGAACCAGATTATCCTCCTCTATTCTGCTCCATTTCTTAGTATCGGCTTTGGACTTCGCATTGTTAGACGCACAAAGAATATACCACAGAGATACACATATAAGCATACACATATCACATACTTACACGAATGTATACAAGATATAACATGACTATACACAAATAAGATATATACTTACATATTTACAGATATACTCATACACACATTTATTTTTTTCTATACACTAGCTTAAAAAACACACTTGAAACTACTCATTATATTTTTGTTGTATTTCACTGTTATGACATAGTGGATGGATGGGGGGGGTCTTCTGGAAAATGTTTTTTTTTTTTTCTAGTTTTCTGAAAGGGGTCATTAAAAATTTGATGAAAACCCCAGGATTCCCTTCCTGAGAATGTTCTCACTCACTCAGAAGTCTTGTAACCAATCCCACCCTCAGTATGGGACTCAAAACACAAGCTATTTACTGCATGTATTAATTAACTCATTCATGTAAAATATATTTAGGTGCTAGGAGTGCAATTGTGATACCAAACACCAGCCTCAGTTTCCCTCAGCTAATGAAAAGAAGCAGAGTTTCAGGAGAAAATATTTTAATTTGTCAGCAAACTGAGCAGGGCAGGAGATGCTGAAAGACTACCATCCTGCTCTTTGGCAGAGTGCAGGGGTATTTATTTATACAAAGGAGTTAAAAAAAAAAAAAGGAGACAGTGAGGATCTGCAAAGGGGAGATAGGAAGGGTAGGTAAGTCTTTTTGATGCAGGCATCTGGCGATTTCAGGTAGGCACCAGCTTGCTTTGTTAACACCTGATGTTTAACTTCCTTATTATCTTCTTAGGGATGTCCTTCCTTTTCCTTAGAATGTAAAAAGACAGCAGACCTGTTAAATGCAAGAGATAGGGAGGCTTATCTGGTGGGGCAGAAAGAGAGACCTGTCCTGTTTCACTGCATCAGCTGGTTCCTGTTCTCCCCAAGCCAAGATTCCCTAACACTAGGGCAGTCTGTTTCCAGGGGAGCCCTCTGCAGTGAGCAAGAGTTCCTCTGAGTCCATCCTGGAAAGCCACTGGCATGATTACAAAGAATGAAGTTAACACCGGCTTGTATTCTTATTTGGGCATACTTATAATGTTAGACAAATCAGCAGTAAGACGTAGTAAGACGTGTTAAAATGTATGTAAAGGGTGAGACATGCAAGTGTATATAACTATTTAAAACCTTAATCACTTCAGGGCCCCAAAAGATAACGAGATTTGTTCTAGCAGTTGTTTTAGCTGACACCTGTAAGTTCATACAGGCAATGGAACTTTCAGACTCCTCCCCCGACACGCACTAGTCGGTATTCAAGGTGGATGTTCTTAGTCCAGAGAGCACAGGACGAAGGACTAGAAACAACACAAGTGCTAGATAATAGGGTAACTGGGAAGGCAAGAAAATGAGTCAGTGAAAGGGAAGAGGGTGAGATGATGTGAAATTTCGCTAAAGGTCAGAGAGTCACTTGGTAAATTTTGAGGGAGGAAATATCTTTGCAGAAATTGAGGAAGGAGCCTTCTGTTACAGGGCAGGGAGAGGGACACTTCAGAACCCCCCCCAATCCTGCACATTCTACATAGGTTTTGCCATGCCGCATCAAGACAAGACATATGTGTAAGACCTTCAGTGGAAAGGAAACTTTAATACCATTAGTGTGCAACAAAGAGAAGAATGAAGTTTCCAAATCAGTCACCTAAACTGACCCATCCCCTCGTGGGTAAATGTCCAGCCAAACAGGGTCGGCCCAAAGCAGGGTCACTGAGGCCCAAAACCTGCCACAAGTATAAAGCACTTCTTGGTGGGTCCCCTAGGAAATGGGCAGGAGGGGCCTGGAATATCTGGAAGGACAAGAATAAAATCAAAACCAAAGCTGCCATTGTTGACCTCCCATGAGTCTCTCACCCACATCTGTTTCAAACAGTCCAAGGCCAAGAAGCAACTGCAGCTTCTTCACATGTCCATGCTCCATGTGCCTCCCTCAGAGCTCCTTCTGGCTCCATCCTGCTTCCTTCCCATCTTCAATCTCCTCTCCAGATTCTCCTCTCTGCCCAGCTCTACCATCCCTTGGAGCGGGCAAGGAGCCTAGAACCTCCCCTTTCCCTGGGGACCACTCTGTTTCACTTTTAGGTAGAAGGAACTGCAAATGTTGAATACCTGAGGTGAAGCCAAGGCATGGTGTGAGATTGGGGTGGAGTGAATTCGGAAGAAGAGGAGATAAACATATCCTTGGAGAATCCTTGTGGAGAACTGGGGGGACACTTAAGTTGGTTCCCACTTGCTATCACCTGGAGGTCAGCAATTCTGGTGCTGTTTTCTCAGTGTGGTTTTTTTCCTTGGAATGTAAAGTTCTAGGTTGTTAAGCCTAGAGGGTAAATAAAGGAAGTGGGAGCATTTTTCTGGTGGGGCAGGCTCTGTCAGAGGCAGGCAGCAGTGGCCCTGTCCTCTGTAAAGCTTTACAGCTCTCACTGCCTTCAGGAGCAAGGGCCAGTTCAGAGTGTCCCAAGCAGGCCCATGCAAGAGCAAGAGCAGGAGCGCAGCTGGAGAGCAGGCCCAGAGTGTAGGGTGCTAGTGGCAGTTCAGCCAGAGCAAGTCTGAGTGTCCAGGACCTGAGCATGTCTGAGTCCGAGCGTGAGCCTCAGACAGTTCAGTCAGAGCAGGAGTGCAAACAACCCCGAGAGAAATCGGGAGGCCAGCTGTCATGTGAGAGTCCAGAGCTGGGGTCCCTCCCACCCTGTAAACTCTTATTCAAAACCCTCACATGCCCCCCGTCCATACACACACAAACAAGTCTGATTGGACCAACTCCAATCCCATGGCCGACTGGACCATGGCAGCTCCTAGCTTGTTCCTGATCATTCCGCGATCAGGCACCAAATCACTGCCTGCAGCTGGAGGGAGCCACAGGCCTGGAGCTGGCCCCTGGGGCCCCAGAGCTCCCTCTGGGAGGGAACCGCTGCCTGCCTTCCACCATCTCTGCTGGCCTCTGTTGGCAGCCTGGGCCCCAGTGGGGCCGCTGGTGGTGGGCAGTAGAATGCCCACCACTGGCTGCCGCTTGCACAGCTTGCAAGCAGCGCTCTGGGGCCAAGTGCCAGAGGACGGAGTGGGTTCTTCGATTACAGTAGCAGGAGTCTGAGGGAAGTAATTGGAGTCCAGAGAAGACATGATGGAACCAAATATGGAAGAACTGCTGACTCAAAGGTTTCTCTGAGCACCTAAGAGATGCAATGCCTGTGTGGAAGGGATAATAGGAACTTAGTTTCAGATGTAGAAATCCAGAGATCTAAGTGGAGATTTCAAGTAGATGTATTAGACATAATAATGTGTCAGGAATTAACATCTTTCACCTAACCCCTTTCAATACTTTTTGTACTCATCATTTTTCCAAGTCCTATGCCAGGATTAACCTAATCCCTTTATGAACTGGGTACTACTCTTAGCCTCATTTTACAGGAGAAAACACAAAGCAGGTGGATTAGGTCACTTGCTTGCCCCGGGCTGCAGGGCTGGATCAAGGATGTGAACCAGGCAGTATGGATCTAGAATCCGTGTACATAGCTTCACAGGAGGCAGGTTTCTTTTTTCCTTTATTCTCTAGTCCTTTCTGGATGGTTGTGGTTCTGAAGCACCTTGATTACAGCAGCCTGTGACAGCTGGCTTAGCTCTCAGGTCTGCTCCCCGCACTCCCTCCCACCCGAGACCCGGCAGCTCCTGGCTCCATATTTCCACTTACACAGATCAACTAATCCTTGTGGCCTGAGGACATTTAATTCAGAACCTAAATAAGATGATTCATTTAAAACTTCTAAGCTGATAAATAAATAAAGTGCATTAGACCCAGTAAGAACATTTTGTGGGATGCAGGGATTCTACCTCTCCCTGTGACATTATTCTTAGTTTCTCCTTCAAGGGAAGCATGAAAGTTTTATCCAAAAATGTAAAGAGTGAAGCCAATGTGAAAATAGAAATAATCTAAATGGCTTGCTTTCTGCGTAAAGGGAGTCTTCTGACATGTGCTTTTAATAAAATGTATTATCTATTGAATAAATACAAAGGAACATTTAAAGATGTACACTGTTATAAAGAACAGTAATACAATCCATGACCCAGTTTAATCAATAGAATATTGTCATCAGCCAGAGGCCCCCATGTTTACCGACAGGTAATGTCCTCCTCCTCCTAGATGTCCCTTTTCCTCCCTCCTGCATCACCCACCTTCAGGGTTTGATGACATTACTCAACAGTTTTACTCCTACACATGTTTTGAGAATGATATACATTAATTTTACCTACTTTTGCACCTGGTACAAATAGAATAATACTGTAGATATATGTTTTGATCTGCACTTTTTAAAATTTTATTATTTTTGTTTATTTATTTATGCATACAGAGCTGGGGTACAGGCCAGAGGTGCAGGGATGGTGAGTGGATTCACCAGAGACAGAGTGGGGAGCAGAACAGGCTGAGGGAAGCAGTGGGCAGGTCAGGAGAGGTCTGCCACGCCATGTGGATCACCTCCGGGGCAGGGATTGAACTCATGCTGAAGTGGCTTTAGCTTCTTAGTGCTGTGTCACCAGGGAGGGCCATTATCTGCACTTTTAACACGCTATTCATGGGATTTTCCCATTGTCATTATCTGTAGCAACAGCTCTTTAGCTTTTATCACCATGTGTGACACGAGGCATTTTTCCATTTTGTTACAGATGTATATTTAGGTTGGCCCTAATTTTGTCAGTTGAGAGCATGCTTCTCCAAGACTTCTATTTTGCGGGTTTGGGGTGGGGGTGGGGGTGGGAAGGGGAGGGTATGGTCATTTAAAGCAAGCATAAGTGGCTCTCATATGAAAATGTCAGGGGAGGAACTGCTGTGCTGTTGGGTGTGTTTATCTTCAACTTTATGCAATAATCCCAAGCCAGTTTCAAAAGTGACCCGAGTTTCATCTCACATTAGACACATGTAAAAGATTTTGCAGCCCCTTTTACTTGTGGACACTTGGGATTGACATATCCCCATTTTTAGTAATGGAGAAAGGGAAGGAAGAAGAGTAATGGCCCTTGTACCCCATGTTAAAGCAAAGTCTTCTTTGCAACCCTGAGCTTTTTGGGGTGGGAAGGGGAATTCTTAATTTTCCCTTTACTGAGACTTTTGGGATATCTGACCTTGAGCATCAAATTGTTACAGGACAGGGAGATGGCTCCCCAGAACCTCGAAAGCTGCCTGCTTTAAATAAGTTTTGCCACCTGCTGCATCAAGACAAACCATGTAAGACCTTTAATGGAAAGGAGTGTGCAGTACAGAAAAGACAAGGAATATAGTGTCAAAATCAAGCAACCAAAGTTACCCAACCCCTTGTGGGTAAATGTCCAGCCAACAGGGTGGGCCCAAAGCAAGGCCTGAAAGTCCCCACAAGTCTAAAGCACCTTGTAGTGGGCAAGCCATAGAAAAGGGTCAGAAGCAGTCAAACAACTCTGGGAAGAAAAGAACAAAATCCAAACCAAGTTAAAGTTGCCACTGTGAAATTCCCCAGGTCGCTCACCCACGTCTGTTTCACCCAGTCCAGGACCGAGAAGCAACTGCAGCTTCCTCACGTGTCTCTACTCCATGGGCCTCCTCAAGTCTCCTCCCCACTCTCCATCCTGTTTCCTTCCTCTCCAGTCTCCTCTCCAGTTTCTCCTCCCTGCTCAACCTTACCCCTCCCTTGGGTGAGGCAGGGAAGCTGGGACCTCCTAATTATAGAATCTTCCGTTAGATTTCCCTTCCTGGGTTAACTCTTGGGGTTTTACCCTTTGCCTTCTTCACAAGAGACTTAGAAAGCCAAAACTTTGACACCTCCTTAGATTATTCACAGTCCTAAGGATATAAAAATCAGGTTTTCCCCTCTCTACACCATTTTTTGGTTCTAGCTTTTACTACATCTCTGATAACTCTTTACTTTCTTGCTTGCCCTATAATGTATTTTAAATGTTATTATCATTAAATTAATATCATAATGTTATTTCCATAGTAGTTCAGAGTATTGTCTACATACTTCAGGAAACAGAGCCCTAGATTTAGCTTTTCCATGTTTGCTATCCTTTTGTTTTTTGTTGTTGTTTATTTTTCCATGTTTATATGGGGCCTTTATAGTTAAAGTTTAGTTTTGACAAGCTATATTTAACATAACCTGCTATTGAATGATTTGTGGTGTTTCTTTTAAAACCAATGCATGTTTATTATACATCAGGCACTGTTCTAGCAATGGGGGTGCAGGAGAGTACAAAATGGTTCAAATTCCCTCCAAGGAACTTGAAGCTCAAATTCTAGAGAGGAAGACACGACAGCTATAGTGCATTAGTCAGTGATCATGCTAAAAGGAAACAAAGCAAAAATGGGGGGGGGGGCTGTATGTCTTTGAAACAAATCAGGAATTCCTCCCTGAGATGGTGACATTTTTATAGAAAGGGAGTGTGAGCCATGAGCATTCCACAGAAAAGCCCTAAATGTCTTCTAAATGACTAAGGAAATATTGAATGAAAATTCTCTGTAGCTATATATTTATATTATGTCCCAACTTTACTATTAATCTTTCTTCCTTCTTAAAGTTCATTTTTTTTTCTGTCAGTTTCACAACCAAGCTCTACAGTTTTAATTTTCTAGTCAGAAGAACTGACTTTCTATCTACTTAACCTCTCTGAGTATATTTCTTCCCCCCTCCCCCGTAAAATCCTGAGAAACCACAGCCTGTCCCCTCAGGATTGATGGGTGAAATGAGGTAACACTTGTAAAGGTGTCTGACATGGCGTGGGTACCCAGTAAATGTTAATTCCTTTCTTCTTCTTCCTTCCCTGTCCACAGTCTTTTCAGCACTTGTTTTCATTACTTGCATTTAGATTGCAATTAGATTCTTTTGTAACACCATGGAGAAACCATGTGGTAGGCAATTAACTACAGACAAATTGGGGACATTAGTCAACTTGGTTAAAAAAAAAAACTTTTTAAAGTGGATTTGAAAAGCTGAGTTTATTGCTCTAAGATGAAGAGATAAAGTCAAGTCCATGCTTTTATTCATTTGCTCCTTAACAGGTATTTTTCCTTGCATTAAGTATCAGCCACCCTGGTAAGTCTCCATTTCTGTGTGTCTGCAGAAGAACCCATTGCAATCAAACTAAAGCAAACAGGTATATCCATTGATATGCAAATACATATATAGCTTCTTAAGGTTGCTTGTGCCTTAACCCATTCTAGCTCCAATTTTGCGGTGCAAATTGGTGAATATTCTTGATGTTGTTGGTGTGCCAATCAAAAGGAGAGTCAAGTTGACTCTGCAAGTCATGTGTAGTTCAGATTGAATGAAACTGAACTCTACATTTAGAATTACTAGTAGACCCTTTAAATCATTTATATTCTCCAATGAGATCTTTAATTTGAGGGTCATCAGACCGGAATTGTGCTATTGGTCTTAAGATGGACTGACCATGGGTTCTCAGCCGATTAGCTTCTCCGCCTGTATCCTAAGTGATCCTTCCCATACTTCCTGGCCTTGTGTGACTGTTGACATTTCGTAAGGAACTGAGCAACATCAAAGTAAGACACTAAAGATAAACAGAGTACAACTATTTATAGTGTATACTTTTGGTTTTTGTCCTGTCCACAGCCCTACCGTTGACCGTGCCCTGCTGGACATGTCCTTCCTTCGACTCTGTGGGGAGATGCCCTCTGGCCTCCGAGAGCAGCTGGACCACACATTCCGAAGACACCAGTAGTCCGAGCTTGGGCCCCTCCTACACAGACCTGCAGCTTCTTGGTGCCGAGGAGCAGATGAGTGGCAGGGCTTCTGGCACTGACTCAACTGGTAAGAAAGCACCGTGCTGGGAGCTTTGCCCTCACTTTTAGTGACCTGTAGCTATTCTTCAAATGTCTACAGCCAGTTTTTTCTGCAGAATGACTTCAGGCTTAGCCATGCAGTCAGCTAGAATGAAAAGTGATGTAAGATTTCATTGGGATGAAATACGGACATAGATTGTGGCTGATTGGTTAGCAATTTATTAATTTTGGGAAACCATTTGACAGTCTGTCTTCATGTATTCTTTTCTGATGGTACCCTGTCAACTTATTTCCTCTTTGGTTAACTGAACTATTTGTAATGTGCTCACCCACGTACCACCCACGTACCCTCCCTCTTTAGCAAGAGGGAGGTAGACTTAAGCAGAGACAAAGTAAATATTCCATGAAGCAGAATGAGAATCGGTACTCAGCCTCTGTGCCCAGGCTACAATTCATTTTGCAGTTATATTATTTTCTGGCCTGCCTGAATTGGGTTTTCCAGCAATCTGTAGCACCCCACCATTGCCTTGACTGATTTCCAGTACGTGCAGCCTATGCTGGATTGCTGGCTGCCTCTGCAGGTGGAATATGGGCTTGTGAGCAAGTCTGTGTAGCAGCTTTGCTCTAAGATAGCATTGCAAAGATGTGTCTTTGGTATTTTGGTTATTTGGTCCAAGGGATTGTTTTCCTTTGAAAGTGCTAGAGTTACTGATAGTTTCTCTGTGGCAGAAATTACCCAGTGTGCCCTACAGTATCTGTTTTTCCTCTTAAACATGTCAGTCAGGAATTTGTCTCTGAATCCCTTTTCCAATGCAGGTAACATTTGCCTTCATGCTATGTGCTGCTTCAGGGTGTTCTACCAGTAGAAAGAGATCTCTCTTGCCGACTGAAGCCTTTGGACAGGACTTGGTTTGTTACTTAACAATATTGTAGTGAATCCTAGTTCCTCACAGTCTCTCTCTTCACCAGCCACAGTTCTTCATAGCATTTTGTTTTCGCAGCCCCTGTCTTGATGATGGTTGACTTTCATGGCTGGTGATCCTGGTCAGTGGCTGCCATGTGTCCCCTACAACTGTGACCCATTGGGAGAGCATTTCATGGGCGGGAAGGTGTTGTCAGATGCTGAGGAAGTTAGAAGAGAGGCTGTGCTTGCTGCTTTCTTTGTTTCTCCTTGCCCTCAGCCTTCTTTCCAAGCTTCCCTGTTTAGGATGCAAATGGTTAAGAGAACAGATTCTGGAATCAGGCTGCTCAAGTTTAATCCTTGTTGTGCCATTTACCAGCTTTGTGACCTTGGGCAAGATCCTCAGTGTATTTACACTTCATTTTTATCATCTGAATGTGGGGACAATGACAGTACTTAACCTTAGCATGCTGTTCTCAGCTTCAAGTGACACCGTTCACGTGGACAGCTCCCTAGTCTCTTACACAGAGCAAATGTTCTGTCCCTCTTCTCTGGGGCTCTTCCTGCTTTAGAGAGATGGGAAGTGGGCTCCTCCTACAGGAAAAGTCAGCACCTGTAGGCTTGGGCAGTATGTGCTCAGTGGCCTCTCTACTTCATCATTAGGTGAAAATTGCTTTTTACTTCTAGAGGTTCAAATGATGAAATCAGAATCTAGTTGGAGTTGGTCATTAATAATGTGTGTCCAAAACTGATGATTAGTTTTAGTCATTCTTTTTTTAAAAGTCCTGCTAGGGGGCCCTCTCTGGTGGTGCAGCGGGTTAAAGCACAGCACTAAGAAGCTAAAGCCACTTCTGCATGAGTTTGATCTCCACCCTGGAGTGATCGGTACGGCGTGGCAGACCTCTCCTGGCCCGCCCACTGCTCCCCTCAGCAGTGTACTCCATCAATCTGTATCCCACTCTGTCTCTGGTGAATCCTCTCACTGCCCCTGCACCTCTGGCCTGTACCCTAGTTCTATATGCATAAATAAATAAATCTTTTTTAAAAAGTCCTGCTAGGGTTACTATTCACATTGAGAAAACCTCTTCCCCTGTTGCTTTGATCAGGGTCTCCACGGAAACAGGTGGCACTCTCTGAAGGGCCCATCTGAAGAAATTTGAATGCAAGGACGTTTATAAGGTTAGCTGGTATCATGGAAGAGGCTTCCCCACAGGCCCATGCTGTAGAAAGAATAACACCATGCCAGGCAAGAGTGGGGAATAAATACCCAGACCTTGTGCCAGTCCTGTCCATGGGCAGAGCCCAATCTGAAGGCAAAGAGCACAGGCTCTGGGAAGGCAGTCCACAGAGGTCACGCAGGAGGCCACAGAACAGGCGGGCATGGGTGGAGAATAGATGTGGGCTGACAGTAACGGTGATCCCCATGTACAATAACAACCACCCCAGGAGTTAGTTCGCCCTGGGAGTTAAATAACCTTGAGACTGATGTTGCCCCAGAGATGAAATGTAGAACTGGGATGCTGGGTGATGCTCAGTCTCCCCTTCAGCAGGTGGCAGTTTCCATAGCTACAGGGGGTTGGAGCTTTTGGTATCTTTCTTTCCTGCAGCAGTTAAAATCATAGCCAGCGCATACTGAGCAAGCTCTGTGTACCTTTCAGTCCCAGCAGGTGTCATTCTCCCCATTTCCTAACTGACCCCAAGTTGGTGGAAGGTTACAAAACTTGTCTAAGAGAACACGGCTAATAAAGTGGATGAACCTATGTGATTAGTCTCAAAGTTCCCAGGCAGTGTTCAGGCGTTTCCAGATCTGGCCGTTTGCCTAAGTCATCATAGTTAGTAGTTTGGGGTCGCCTTCCAGACATTCTGTGCAGAATTATACAGGATTCATGATACACAATATACTCATGCATATGTATGTAGACAGGAATATGTATGTATGTAGACGTGAATGTATGTAGGTGTGTATACACGAATATATGTGTGTGTGCACACCCCACACCGTGTGTGTGTGTGTGTGTGTGTGTGTGTACACACATGGCTTTGGAGGTTTTTTTTTTTAACACAAATAGTATCAAAGGAACTTTAAGTAACAGGTGGTGCCTGAAGAAAAATCTTGCTTCCTTAACAATTATGAGAGTGTTGAGATTAGTATTGTGTGCCCACCTTATATATTATTTAAACAAGTCTCTGAAGTCTGCATTTTTGAAACCTCCCAATTCTTTCATGATCAGGCCTTGACCCAAGCTGCCTGGGTGCTTGGGGCTGCCTCCATCTGCTCATGGTGGCGTGGTCTTCCTTTGCCTCTCACTTCCACTCTCCTCCATGCCCACAGGTGGCCACAGGGCCCTGCGAAGGTGAGGCTGAGAGTTGAAAGGTTCCAGAAGCCTTCTTAGACTCCAGCTGGGAGGCCCCCAGAGTCCCTTCCTGAACATCCTGACCTATGCAGGCAGATGGAGTCTGGCTTTGAAGAGCCATTAACGCACCAGAGATCCCAGGATGGAAGAAGGAGTAGGAAAAAATAAGGTCTAAGGGAGTGACCAAGAAGTCCAAGCTTTGGCTCCTATCTGTCTGCTCCAGCCACGGGGACTTAAATGCTTTCAGTTGAGCTGTTGAGAGCTTCAAAGTAATCTGTCCCCAGACTCACTGTGCTCTGCCCGGCACCAGGCCCAAGACCGTGGCCAGCTCTGGGAGAGGTCTGCTCTGGGGCTGGGCGGTTCACTCAGGGTGAACCAAATTCCTGGGAGGCTGTGGAGCAGATGCCTCTGTCTCTGCCTCCTGGCGGCACCGCAGTCCCTCCACAGAGCTCCCTTCCTCATCTGGATGGGGGCGAGCGTCCCTCCCCAGGCGGCAGTGGGGTGTGTGTGAAGGTGCTTGCTCAGAGCAGAGAGCACTAGGAATTTCAACAAAGCCTCTAGCTTAATAGCGCTATGCTGCATTTCCCTTTGAAAAAAAGGATAATTACTGCTCACTTTATTGCCCATGAAGACTATAAACTACACATGTGTGGGTTGAGACCTGGAGGCTTTTGCAGCTCTCAGCAATAAGCCAGAGGTAAATGAGTGGTGCAGGGAAGTCCCTGGTGATGAATTTCTGTGCTGAAGATTTGGGGGTCCTGGTGAGGAACTGCCCTGGGGAGACTTTTGTCGTGTGTCCTCTCCCCAATGTGTTAGCTGTGTGGAAATAGAAGGTAAGGAAAGCATGAGGATTGCTCCTTACAGGAGCTCTGTCAGCCAGCCCAGGCTGCTGCTCACCCTGGCAGCTTTGTGTGAGCAGGCGACCAGGCAGACGCCGGTGATTCATCTCCTGTGTGGAGCCTGTTTACCTTGGCCCTGTGGCTCCGCACAGACTCCTCCCTGTCATCTGTGGCCGGGAGTTCTGCAGGACTCTGGCAGTCCCGATTCCCACATTACTGCGGCGGGGAAGACTGTGATCAGCCTGCACTTGCTTCTCATTTTCTCACCGAGATGATAATTAGGAGGAAGGCAAACAAATCCTTTACCTTGGGTAAATCACAGGGTGTGGGGAGAGCTGGGGAGCAGTGTTGATGTTTGCTCTGGGGCTTAGCTCTCTAGCGCACATGGCAGGAGACTTGGAACTGAATCCCTCTCAGGGAGGATTCACTGTGGAGTGATCACACTTCCTCTCTCACCCCCCACTTCTCCAGGTCCCCTGCCCATGGCAGGTACATCCTGCCTGGCTCACCAGTCAGAAGTGGCCTGGTTGCCACGATTCTGACATGGGTTTATAAACAGTAAGAATGTAGTTGGGGGTGGGGTCTCCCTGATGGCACAGTGGGTTAGAGTGAAGCACATGAAGCTCTCTGCAGTCACTGCAGCACAAACTCAATCCTTGGCAGGGAGCTGACCCACATGGCACAGCAGACCTCTTCTATCTCGCCTGCTGCTCCCCTCAGCAGTGTATTTCAGTGGATCCACCTGTTATGCTCCCCACTCTGTCTCTGGTGAACCCTACTAATCCCCACACCTCTGGCATGTGCCCCAGTTCTTGTATGTATAAATAAATAAATCTTTAAATAAGAATAAGTATAGTGGGGATAAAAAGAAGTCTTCTGCCTTGGCAGCCTACTGCAATCATGGAGGAACAGAGAGAATGTTTGCAGTAACCTA